GTAGATCTCTATCTATTATTTTAGATCAAGTTTACACCTAACAAATACACTGTAATGTTCCTTTTTTACTTGAAAGCTGGGGGCCTAGCTTAGCCTATCAAATTATTATATAGGTCTAAGCTATATATGTACAAGAATAGTGAGACCTAGAATAATTGATAAATACATAAAATCGTCTAACTCTCTATACTAGCCTATACCATAGTCAGTAGAAAACTATGCCAATACCTACTCTTCACTCTCCTACATTATTACCTGTAATTTTTATTATTGGAAGTTCATACAAGGCCGCAAGAGGGCCTGACTCGCATGATTATGATGCACTTCCGGAAAAAAACCCGTTACAATTCTGTAATGCAAAATACGCTAGCTGCTCGTTCTTCCTATATCTTTTGCTGCAATATTATGGAATTCCCCCGGGGAGCTGAGTAGGCCCATGTGTTCTATAAGTGCTTATGCTAGGTTTATGTTCCCGGTGGCCACGGCAGCCCCATTTGCCAGAAACGTAGTGCGCCGTGGGATTTTGGCAATTTTTTCCACGTTTTAAGTTTCCGTCTTGGCTTTTTTGGTGGCATAGCTTGGATTCTTTTTGTTTTATTTGTGGCATTCTTCCATTTTATGCTTCCCGTCCCACTCGGACCGCCTCAAAGTTTTGTTATGGCTTATTACGTACTGTCACGTTTTGTTGCGATCACCCCGTGCGACTTAGGCCTACTGGATTTCTCATTCGAACCGTGACTGCCGTGGCAAATGTTTGACATTTAAAAATTTGCGCCGGCATCCACGGCAATCACGGCCCGTCGTTTGCTTATCCCGTCCCCCCGCGTTGTCTCACGTCCATCCCGTTTTGTTCACGGTGGCCTGAAACGTGGCTGCCGTGGCCACCGGGAACATAGTGCAAACCTAGCATTGGATGCTTTAGGTATAAAGCGCTAAAACGCACCACCACCACGTGTGAAGTTCGATTCTTTGGCTCAACTATACCAGCTCGCTTGCAGGCCTATCCTACAAGCTGAATAGCACAGCACTTTGAACTAAGAGTAGCCTTACTCTTAATTAATTTTTTATAATTTGTATATAGCCTAATATTGATGATCGATGAAATAATAATTTTGTAATAATTGAATGTTTTTGTTTTTTTTTTAATTTTCCCAAGGCTCCGTTTGTTTTTGTTTCTGTTTTGTTTTTTCTTTTTCCTTAAATTTTGTTTAAGATATATTTATTGGTTGTCTTGCGTTGTCATCTCATCATTAAACGTATCCATTAAACAACAATAATAGGCCCTAATTTATGTAACCACAATGCATTGCGTTGGAAATCTCACAATTTCGCACCTGTCCAGAACTTTCCGCTGTTGCCACCTCTTCGTACAGATGCAGTCATGGTAAGAGAGTCCTCTGTCGTGAATTTTATGTTGTTAATGTTTTACCTTTTTAGATTGACTTTTAGCAAACTGGGTTTCGGCAAGCTGGGTTTCTGCAAAATGGGATTAATCGTGTTTGTGTCGGCAAACAGGGACTCGGCAATCTTTCATTCGGCAAACAACTGGGTTTGCCGAATGAAAAAATAACGAACCAAAAATAATTAATTTTGGTTTATAATATTTTATTCCGTTATAGTTATAGTGATCCACCATACGAATTTGTATCAGCCGCAATCACTGAAGTGGATGTTTCACTTACCTTCAATACATCCCTTCCACTGTATTAACGTTATTTGAATAATGAATTCTTACATATGTTGCTTTTGTAGCGAGACAAGTCCTCGTCCAATATTTAACTCAAAATATGTCAATAATGGTAAGGCATTTAAAAGAATGGGCCAACAATATAATATTTCTTTCAGATCTATGCACGCATTTTGACAATAAATCGTCACAAACTGTTTGTCCTTACTCAAATTAATATAGGCCTAAAATTAGTTTGTATTGCTCTGTCCACACTCTACGTATGCCCATATATAGTCATAAGGTCATGTTCAGTTGTCATGTCATCATGACCATATTTAGGCATGTCACATGGTTTTCTCAAATAAAAATTGATAGGACAGAGCTTTCTGAGAGGTCTAGGCCCGTTTCCAAACTATGTGTACGGAATAATGAATGGATTGATTGTTTAGCAGATTGTAAACAACAATTCATGAAAGGCACATGTGTGAAGTAGCTTCCTGATTAGCGTTCTATCTTTATTTGTATGTATTCAGACGTACATATGTATACATATATATATTACGTTTTCTGAGTATGTACTGTTTTTAGTTAGTGTGTATATTTTTTTTTTTTTTTACATTTTTTGTGAAGGCAGAACACCATGAATTACAATTTTTATTAAGTGTTATAAATTGAACAGATTTTTTTTTTGTATTTGATTTAATTGACTTGCTTTTGAGTGTTGGAAATAATAATGAACATAAATATAGTGACAATGATGACAATAGCAATGATAAGCTATTATTATTGGGTTCCGGCCCGTTGCTACCTGGGCTCGTTGCCACCTGGGCCCGTTGCAACCCGGCCCGTTGCCACCCAGCCCGTTGCCACCCGGCCTTTTGCCACCCTAGGCCCGTTGCCACCCGGTCTTTAGCCACCCGGCCTTTAGCCACCCGGCCTTTTGCCACACGGTCCGTTGCCACCGGCCTTTTGCCACCATTGGGAAAGTCGAATATTTAAATCGTTAATGTTACTGAGCGCAATATCCTTTAGTTTACCGCTAACGAGAAGGGCTTTATCCAAAGTTTATCATTGACGGTTATTTCTCATGAGAAAATATATATGCTTGTAATAAATTGTCCGCATAAAGAGAGAAATACAAAATAAATTCCATAAAGTTAATTATACACAAATAATATAGGCTTGTGGTTATAACTATTATTATCATAAATGTGTTGTTTTTTAATTGTAAAAGCACAGGCTATTTCTTTATATTTTAGAATACGAATATACTTAAAAATAAAATATAAAAATAAACTCACTGCAGTATTTCTCTCTTTATGAGGATATAACAATGTTTATTTCTGTAATTTTCTCCTGGTGGTAAAAAGGCACATGGACGATTGTTTAAAATAAAATACAGTAAACTAATAATTAAATGTTAAACTGGAAAGTAAATAATAATCAAGAAAAAATTCTGCTACAATAGGCCTACTAGTACAAATCTATGTAACAAAACCCACCAAAATAATATAAATAGGCCTAGTTCGACATTACTAAAGGTGGCAAAAGGCCGGGTGGCAACGGGCCTAGGGTGGCAAAAGGCCAGGTGGCAACAGGCCTAAAGGGTGGCAAAATGCCGGATCACAACGGGCCGGGTGGCAACAGCCGGGTGGCAAAAGGCCGGGTGGCAACGGGCCGGGTGGCAACGGGCCGGAACCCCTTTCTGAGCAATGTTAACGTCCATAAAAACGTGTTTGCTGCCCTCTAGATAATTACCGATTTTACTCCATATGGTCGTTGATTTACTAATTTTAACCATTTAGTTTTTAGCAACATTCATCACCAGCCTTTCATCACTTATAAGACTATTGCCATAATGTAAAACTTTACTTGGAAACAACATATAGTTTTTCAATCGTTCGGAATTACTAATCAACATAAATGGTAGGTAACGGTAACCACTCTCATCGCAAGATATATTTACATTCCCTTTTATTTAGAAAGACAAGAAGAACACAGCGGATGCTCCAGAATTCGCCGACAAGAGGTCCGATGTCCAACGAGATGGTCCGAACAAAGGGCCTGATTAGAGTCTCGGTCGGGGTCCAAGAATGAAAAAAAAAATATCCCTGGCAGGGTTCATGGGGAGAGTTTTTTTATTTATATTTTTTTTTTAATGGCTTAGTGTGGTCCAAATTGTGCATTTGGGTCTGTCCTCTGCATCCTGGCGCCACACCATGCAATAACATGAAAGCTATGCCCGATCAGATGGTAGTATATTAATCAATGCAAATGACTATTTTTAAAGTTTTTAGTTTTGTCTTTATTAACGTCACACTCTTATAATACAATAAGACCAGCCAATACTGGCTTATGAGTGACACATCTTAAAAAATACATGAAAAAAGCTTCAAGGGCTCATAACTAGTTTTTTTTTTTCTTTTCCTTTTTCACTTTTTTCCCCTTTTTTTGTTTTTGTGTACTACCACGCAACATGAAAGAAAGGAAAAAGTCTACAAATAGAACATATAATAAAAAAAAAAAAAAAAACAAAAAAAAAAAACACACAAATCTCAACATTAGTGATTAAACAAAATAGACTGCCGTAATGAAAGATGGGCTTCCCCAATGAATACTTCTAAAATACATAAATACTTCTAAAATACGTAAATATGCATCAGTACACGTTAATACATATAGGACAGCCTACTATAATTATAACACATGCCTAAGCGAGATTTTTAACTGGTAAACTTCTCCTTTACGATTTAGAGATAACAAGTATGCAGTGACTGTGTACGAAACTTTTTAATCAGGAATAATAATAAGGAAGCTAACTTAATATATGAAATTAAATTTAGTAACTAAAGTTGATTTTGTAACTGTTCTAGGATATATAAATCAGATATATAAAATATAATATGTAGGTAGTAGTAGAATTGACTCAATTTTTTAAAGGAAATATATATATATATATATATATATATATATATAATATATTGTGTAATGGAGTGTATCTGGTGGTATTTGAATCTGTTCAACCATGAAGCCTCCGTGGTCTAATGGTTATGAAGCTCGCCTTGACAGCGAGAGGTCGCAGGTTCGAGTCCCGCCAGAGTCATTTTATTACACAATTTCTTTATTCATTTATTTACAGGACTACANTGATATATATATATATATATATATATATATATATATATACATATATATATATATATATATACATATATATACAATGCATGTAAATAAAAAAAATTATGAACGTGTATTCTCAGATGAAACAGCATTTTGAATAGTGTTAACGTACAAACCACCACACAGTAATTAATTGGATAAATTTCACGCAATGTCTAATATTGTATTAATGTTCCATAACAGATTAATTAAGTTAATGTCAGTTAAAACTTAAATACAGGTTTATTTTTTTCTTTTTTGAATTTAACAAGAGAATTACACGTCTACCATAATACATCACAGCGATTTCCACTATCGTCATTGATCCATCATTTCTTAATAATGTTAGTAATACACACGATTGGTAATGATTTTGTTTCATATAATTCCATAATTCCAACTAAATTCAATTCTGTGTTCATTTCCTATTGTTTTTATATGGAAAAAGTATATTTTACATTAACTGAAATGATTACCATTGAATTATGACAATAAACATTACATCAATTTAAGGTATTGAAAATTAACATTAATTCCTTTACAGGGTTTCTTCAACCGAGAATTTTCTATGACATCTCAGGCCCATAAAAATCCTAGCGTCCTTCCACTTTGAAATAAGATAATTGAGGAAGTTTTTTAATTATTCAGTGGTGATGTGCCACTGATGTAGGCCTTATTATTAGTTCCACAATCCCATAACAGGTACAGTAATTTGAAAACATGACACTGCAGTACAAACTGCTTGCATTTGATTTCTCTTTTAATGTTTTTTTTTTCGTTTTTAATGTTGCACGTTCATTTTTCTTATATTAACAGTTGTAATTTTTAATTTTTTTTTCTCTGTCCTCTCTTTGGTTTGTTGATGCATAATACGTTTTTACAATTTTAACTGTACATTCATACGCAATTCAGCTCTGGCTGTCATGTACGTTTTTGTTTAGAGAACAATTAATGGGAGGAAACTTTTTTTAGCGGTAAGGGGACGTCAGGGAAGCCATGGGGTATCGCAAAAACTTTCCTTCAAACACCGTTTCATACTCTCGACCTGGATTGTGTTCATACTATTATAGATGACGTAAAAATAATTGATCTTCGGTACTTGAATTTCTTCTATTTTTAACACTCAAAAACCTGTAAACAAAAAAAAAAAATATTTATTCAAACTTAACTTTTTAAACTATATGAAAGGGTTGTACAACAATCAAGTTAAATGAGTTAAATTTTGAAAGAAAATGTTATGACATGGTTTAAAGAATGTTTAAACAAAACATTGCTTAAGAAAGAAAAATTATTTACTGTACCTCAATCTAATACAGGCTGTAATGGCGACAACTAAGAGTATGAACACTAGACTACCAATAATGGCGCTTATAATAACTGATCGACCAATCATCTCTACCTCATTCGATTCTGTAAGCGTATCAATGTTAACAATTGGACTGGCTGTTGTTGCACGGGGAGGTATCTGTGGATTTTTGTTTAAACCCTTACAGGTACGTCCATCTGTCAATAGCGAAGAGTTTTTAGCACAGAGGCAGGAATAATTCCCGGAGCTCGAGTTCACTTTTGGGGCTGCTACGCACAGATCAGAACATCCGCCGTTATGACCCTCGCAATAGTTAACAATCCCTAAAAAAAAGGGGAAAAAAATGAAAATTAAACTCTTAGATCATCTTCCTATAGTAATTACAAATACGTTCTCATCCATCATGTACCTTTTTTGAGTAAAGTATTTCTTGAAAGAATAAAGGACTGTTGAGGAATGTTGATTTCAATTTTGTTAGCCTTCAATTGACCTCATGGGGAATTTCACATTTTTTTGTAAACAGTAATGCTCCATGTATAAGCCAACCCACAAATGTTCATCCTCTTTGTAGCTGGGCTCTATGGCTCGTACTCAGTAAATTACGGTGTAAAATTATTTACCTTCTATTTGCTTGTGACGGTGATAGATCTGAATGCCCATTGGAGAGTAAAGTCCTTTCAGCAGAGTAGTACGGTTTCTGCCGTTGAATTTGTTCGCTCGAATGATACTCTCCTTATTCCAATCTGTCCAGTAAACATAGTCTTCAAACACAGCTATGGAAAATGGATGAGGCAAAATTGTTTCGGATTGGAGGATGGTACGTCTACACAGACCATTGTAGTCGATGCTGCTCAGACTGTGCACCTTAGCATCCACCCAGAAGAGAAGATCACTGACTAGATCGATGGTTAGGCCATTTGGCCATTCGATGTCCGTATCTACAAGTGTTAGTCTTTGCTGTCCATTCATTCCTGCACGTTCAATCCTAGCTATCTGACCCCAATCTGACCAGAACATGTAACTGCAGAAAATAAATTGCAAAAGACATTTTGATATTTTTAAATGCTTAATTTCGATTACAATTACAAACGAGACGTACAAGCAAGAAAACAATCCAAAAGAAAATAAATCAACTTACCCTATTCTTGGGTCAACAGTAATAGCTCTTGGTTCATGTAAGTCCTCGGATATGAGAATGGCACGTTTGGTTGTATCTTCCAGGCTTGCAACTTCAATGGTGTTGGTTCCAGCATCAGTCCAGTACATGTTATTAAAGACCCAGTCAATACAAATGCCATCTGGTGTGTGTGCAACAGTAATGACCGCCTCTGGCTCACCAGTGCCATTGATATCGGTACGGAATATCTTCTCCTGGGTGACGTCAGTCCAGTAAACCTGCTTCTTCTTGATGTCGTAATCCAAAGCCACTGCGCTTCTTTGATGGTCTACTATCATTCGGTATTCCCTTTTAAATGGATCATATTCGCGTAAATCAACACGGTTAGCAAAAATGACGAGTGGATTTGGTCCAATAGCGCGACAGTATGACTTGTGTTCAAGAATATAACCCTCCTGACAGTAGCACTCGTAGCCGCCTTCATGGTTAATGCATTCCTGACTGCATACCTTTGGAAGTACCTTCCTGCATTCATCTATATCCACGCAATGATTAGCATCATCCAACTCAAAGCCATCTGGACAGGAACAAGAAAACCCAATTGGCAATTCAATGCATTCTGCATTGCTGCTACAGTTATCTTTGTGCTTAGCACATTCATCAACACCTACACCTACAAAACAAAGAATAGTGTAAACAAATTAGTATTCACAATACCAATAGCGACTAAAGACAAGATGTCAATAATGAAATGCGATGGTTTTGGAATACAATACAAATTCAACATAAAAAATATACTTTTTGATATTAACACTCTGCTTATATTACTGTACAATAACATTTATAAACTTTAAACAAGATAACCTGAGATTACAAACAGTAGCCACCAGTCGATCCGCTAGAGTCGGCTAGACCTAGCAAACGAAGCATAGCATGATCATAGGCCTAACGGTGGCGCCAGAAATTTTCTGTCAAGGGGTCTGACGTGTTCAACGGAGGAGTCCAAACTCCAAGGCGCCGACGAAGCCTCGGTCGACGTCCCGGAATAAAAATCCCCGTTAGGGTTCATGGGGAGAGTTTTCTATGTCCTAATTTGGTCCTAAATATGCTTTTAGACCACAATTAGGGATTGGTCTCTCGTCCTAGTCGGGGTGGGGGATGGAATTTTTTGTATATAAAAAGAAAAATAAATATAATAGTAAATAAAAAGGAAATTAATAATGTGGTGTTCATCACAAATGATTGATGGATTCAACATCCATCTTTGAGAAATTGAATTTATTTTTAAAAAAATGAAAAATGTAACGGTTATAAATAAGATAATACTCAATTAGTTTATACCTATTCTCTATGCGAATGTATGACAATTATACTTTATGGTACGTAATGAACGAATTTAAGCCCCTGTTATGTGTCGCATAATTTCGGTTTATTTTTTAGAAATATAGAGATAAAAAAAAGTTATTGAATAAAGGAGACGATTGAAAATAAAGGTGGGTTATTCCCACAAAAAAGGAAAAAAATAATAGAATAATGTAACAAGCTAAATATTTTCGTAAAAACAAAGGAGTAATACAAAATCTTGGAGACTTTTTAGGTGCTAACATTTACTGTTTCAATGAATAGTTTTTTAATGTAAATGTAATAACAAAAGAAAAAAAGAAACGATTTTTAAAGATATTGTGCATTAATGATGATAATAATAATAATAATAATAATAATAATAAGTAATAAATAATATCAATAATATTAATAACTGAATTTTAAAGGTCTACATTACATCCTTGCAACTCGAAAGAGGTTATATTTATGGGAAATAGTTGAGTCAAATTTATGCCTAAGGTGTATTATTGTTCAGGATGATGCTCATCTATTGTTCGAGTGTAGTGAATCAAAACAACTGTGAAATTATATTACTTTGAGTAGATTAAATAAGTATGATATTGAAACAAACTTTCAAAACATTATATACGGAATTGGGAATCTGCACGTTAATTAAAGTTTTTCTAATGGAATATTTTGTATATACCAAGCTAATTTTTTAATAAATGTTAATAAAAATCTTGGCTCTGTCATAGACTTTCGTGGGCTATCCTTGGTGTTTACACTGAATAAATCCAATATTATTATTATTATTTATTATTATTATTATTATTATTATTATTATTATTATTATTATTATTATTATTAAATAATAATAATAATAATAATTACTCGGCTTTTATATACTGCTCTAAGCGCTCTATCACATTATTATGCCAGTATTCATTTTAAAGAATGGAATTGCTATAGAAATCTTTGTTGACACACGATACATCAGCCAAGTACACAACAAAACGTTATTCAATACTTATTTGCGAAACTCACTAATTTGGAACAAGTTTAACTGAAAAATAATTTGTCTGAAAAACGCACGATGCAAACTGTTGGTACTACGACCGTCACACACTGTAAAATCATCAATCCGTTATATATCTTCGAGTTTAGTTGGTTTATAGTTTTCTACACATATAGATTAAATTTATTTAAAAAAATACAAAAAGATAGATAAAAATACAACAGGTTTAATAATATAAAGAGCACTATGCTGTCATTATGTTATCGAGTCGGAAACGAAAATAAAACTGTTTCACGAACGACATCAGATATTCGCAGATGTGCATTAGAAACCGTACGGTTCCGTGGAGTGCAAATAGCATGTACACGTACAGCGGTTCGTCTGTTTGTTGTTTGCTATGGTTGAATTAAAATGGTTTTTCGAAATAAATGTAGATGATTAATAAGCAATTAGTAGAGCTCCGCATAGTGCAATAGGAAAATTATTATACGAAGGTTAGATTTAATGCTTGAAAACATTTCCTGAGGGCCTGCAAGGCCCGAAGGAAATTTTTGAACGCATTAAATCTAACCTAAGTATAATAATTTTCCATTTAGTGTACGATGCATGCTCAACTAATTGCTTTTTTACTAATCGCCGTCTTTTATGCTGATTTTTGCTCCTGCAATCAGCAGATTACAGTACGGATATGATGAATAAGGCCAAACAAATATATATATACTTGTTTAGCGTCACCGCCCGACCATGATTTTCTAGCCGCCACCAAGTGTGTTTTCTTTTTCTGCAAACAAAAATCAGATTCCCCTCACGATTTTGCGCTATATTGTTGTTTTCTATACTGATCCAGGCTTAATTGTGTGTTTTATTTGGATAATAGCAACGATTTCTACCTCCGCCAAGGAATTATGTATTCACCGTTGTCACTGTCTGGGTACAATTGTACAATTGTGTACAATTTTTTTAAATTGAGAATTGACAATAAAATACGCGACGACTTGGGAACCAAAGTTTGGTTGAAGTTTTTTTTAGATCCAGTCGTAAGGGGCGTCCCATCGTTTGTTTCCCACCATGCATTTCGGATGAACACTTTATTTGGGTGGAAAACTCTATCTTGTGTTTCTAGTATCTTTGGTGATATGCATCAGCAGTTGTCAACAAACAAGTTACAACCATGGTTACAGCATGCACGCAAAGATCGTAGGTGGCGGGTACCCTACGCGGCGCTACTTACACGATCTGTTGTTACTTTTTTCGCCAGTTACGTCACGGTAAAATCGGTAACTTCATAAAAAAATTGCCAAAAAACAATTTTAAGGTTGATTCTATTAATAATGGCATATCAGAAATCTCTAAAACAAAAATCATTTTGTTAGTTTTTAACGTTCTCGCATGTGCAGATTACTTTTAGTGACGTCATTACGTTATACGTCCTACCGTTGTCGTCCAATCGGAAGCTCCCTATTATTTTGTATTTATACCTCTAAATTGTTATGTCCACTTGAAAATGACAGACGTTGAGCTTATATTGTTACTGTAATTTTAAAACCTTTTCAGTTTTCAACATAAACTAACGAACGTTGAAATAACGTTGAGTAATGAATAGGTAGATCTACTTGGTATAACAACATAACACATTTTAACGTTGGTTCTATATTATAAAATAATATTATAACACTATATCTAAACCAAACGTTGCCAAAATGTTAAATAGCCATTGTAATTGTTATGTTAAAATCACAACCATATTTCAAAGTGAATTCAGTGTTGTTGAACGGTAAACTCAACCAGTTTTCAATGTTTATTTAACGTTGAAATAACGTTAAGTAAATAAACAAACAATGGGTACAAAACACATTTTCAATTTTGATTCTACATTGAAATAAAAACCTATATTCACACAAAAATCCCAACAAGCTTAAAACGCTAAATATGTAAGGTTGAAGAAAACCGTTGAATAAACAGTAGATTTTGGTTTAAAAATGTTCAATGATTCTACATTGAAATGCAAGCTATACATTAGTTTTACGTTAAAAAGACCTTAAATACACATTAATAATATGTTAGATTTATATAGCGCCTAACGCCAAATAGGCCTTTAAGCGCTCCACATTATTACCCCGGTCATTGGATTAAACGCGAACTCAAGAGAGAAGCAATGCAGATAAAGTGCCTTGCCCAAGTACACAAGTGGAATGCACGATGGAATTGAAACCACGACCTGGAGGTTGGAAAACCAAACCATTCCCACTGCGCCAAACCACCTTCACATTGGTACTTTAATATATTTACATTTGTCAATGTTAAATTAATGTCAGGTAACAAACCGATACTTGGTTAAAAACAAAACAGTTTTTTTTTAACGTTGATTCAATGTTGAGTAAATGTTCTCAAGATCATTTCAACATTACAACTACATTTTATTATGTACCCACTGGGAAATGTATTTTCTATTGCACTGGCTGTTGTTGCAGGAGGCGGTGACTGTGGATTTTTCTTTGAGCCCTCACAGGTACGTCCATCCGCCATTAGTGAAGAGATTCCAGGACAGAGACAAGAATAATTGATGGATTGTGAGCTCACTTTAGGCGCTGCTACGCACAAATCAGAGCATCCACCGTTATGACCCTCGCAATAGTTAACAATCCCTGAAGTTAAAAAAAATAAAATAAAATGCATTATCATCTTCTATAATTATAAACACTTTTTCCTCCTTCAGGTAGCTTTTCTTATTAAGTATTTCTTGAATTTCTGATTCTAGCTTTGAATCAAATATTTTCCAAATTAAAAGTTCAGTATAAAATTTAGAGTTAAAAATGACAAATGCTTTGATGTAGGCACTACATTGCTATCGTATCAGATTATTTACCTTCTATTTGCTTTTGACGGTGATAAATCTGGATGCCCATTGGAGAGTAGAGTCCTTCAATTAGAGTGGTACGGTTTCCGCCGCTGAATTTGTTCGCTCGAATGATACTCTCCTTATTCCAATCTGTCCAGTAAACATAGTCTTCAAACACGGCGATGGAAAATGGATGAGGCAAAATTGTTTCCGAATGGAGGATGGTACGTCTACCCAGGCCATTGTAGTCGATGCTGCTCAGACTGTGTACCTTGGCATCCACCCAGAAGAGAAGATCACTGACTAGATCGATGGTTAGGCCATTTGGCCATGCGATGTCAGTGTCGACAAGTGTTAGTCTTTGCTGTCCATTCATTCCTGCACGTTCAATCCTAGCTCTCTCGCCCCAATCTGACCAGAACATGTAACTGCAGAAAATGAATTGCAAATGAACTTTTGAATATTTTTAAATAATAAATTTCTATCATGATTACAAGCAAAACTTAAACAAGGAAATCATTTGAAAATAAAATAAATTAGCTTACCCAATTCTTGGGTCAACTGTAATAGCTCTTGGTTCATCTAAGTCCTCCGATATGAGAATGGCACGTTTGCTTGGATCTTCAAGGCTTGCAACTTCAATGGTGTTAGTTCCAGCATCGGTCCAGTACATGTTATTAAAGACCCAGTCAATACAAATGCCATCTGGTGTGTTCGCAACAGTAATGACTGCCTCCGGCTCACCAGTGCCATTGATGTCGGTACGGAAGATCTGCTCCTTGGTGACGTCAGTCCAGTAAACCTGCTTCTTCTTGATGTCGTAATCCAAAGCCACTGCGCTTCTTTGATGGTCTACTATCGTTCGGTATTCCCTTTTACGTGGATCGTATTCGCGTAAATCAACGCGGTTAGCAAAAATGACGAGTGGATCTGGTCCAATAGCGCGACAGTATGACTTGTGTTCAAGAATATATCCCTCCTGACAGTAGCACTTGTAGCCACCTTCATGGTTAACGCATCCCTGGCTGCATACCTTTGGAATTACCTTCTTGCACTCATCTATATCCACGCACTGATTGGCATCATTCAACTCAAAGCCATCTGGACAGGAACAGGAAAAACCAATTGGCAATTCAATGCATTCTGCATTGCTGCTACAGTTATGACTGCGTGTAGCACATTCGTCAACACCTAAAAAACAAAGGATAGAGTGAACCAGTGGTTATTATTTACAACATCAATAAAATTACAAGACAAGATAACAATAAATGAAATGTAATGGGTTTGGAAAATATTCAAAAAGATATGAACTTACCACACTTTGAAATCTCTTCATCAGACCCATCACCACAGTCGGGTTGTCCATTACATGTCTGTGTCATTAAGATGCACCTACCGTTCTTGCACAAGAAATCTTCATTTGTGTTGCATTCTTTGGGAGCTGTCAAAAGAAAGAATACAACATGATTAGTTCTACTCTTTGAATTAATTTAGTATCTACTGATTACGATACTTTTTAAATCATGTGCAAACAGAAGTACCCAAGAGGATTTGTTGATTATAAGTCTGGGATAAACCCTTTCAGACCCCTCTATATTCTACAGAACATGGATCTGATAAGTATGTCAAGCTCAGATGGGACCTACATGTAGCTACAGGAGAAAGTGTGCTAAACTTAACTTGTTTTTTAGCCTTTCAAAAGAAAAAGTAAGGTCAGTGACGATCTACATGGTTCAGTGGTCATGGCAAGGATGACAGAGGTTCTGCATATTAAATTATTATGCTCTCTGAAATGGGTTCCTTTTAGGGTAGGGGTGGTTGGCAGTAGCAGATTCAAGGGGGCGGGGAGTTACTGGTTGGGAACATAACTAATCAGAATACAAACTCACCACTAGGGCATTCACTATGCTCATCGGAGTCATCAGTGCAATCCGGAGTTCCATCACATTCACAGACTCCATCAATGCATTCTCCGTTACTACAGGTGAACTGGGACGGGTAACACGTTGTCACCGCTGCTTGAAAATAAGCAATAAAAAGATGCTGTGATCAGTTTAAGATCTTCAGTTAACAAATAGAGCCTGCAACGGGCATAGTTATTTTGTTTAAAAAAAAAAGGGGGGAATAAAACAAATTGTTTTTGGTACTAGAAAATTCAGAAATATTAATGCATTTCTTATAACATATTTTCTAATGTACTTACGACATCCATCTTCATCAGACCCCTCTGTACAGTCTGGTGCGCCATCACATTTCCAACTGGTGTGAACGCATTCGCCATTATTACATTCAAACTCACGAAGCGAACAACGGCTGTGGTGTGGTGTAGGAGCACAGTGGTCGCTGGACTCGTCGGAAAGGTCGGGGCAATCGTAGTCACCATCACACTTCCAGCGATCAGAAATGCAGAGGGAATTATTGCACATGAACTCATTCGGGGCGCATGTTATTGGTGGGCAAGAGGTTTCGTCAGTGTTGTCGCCGCAATCGTCGTCTTGATCACAAACCCAACGGTTAATTATGCACTTTCCGTTTCCGCAAGTGTATTCATCTGCGGTACATGTTACAGCCTCTGAAATATCATAATTATGTTTAGTACTGATGCCCAAAACATTTGAATCAATCATAACGTTTTAGTGTGTGAGATATGAACACATTCATTAGGGTAAAATAGAGTAGATTGCAAAATTATCTCAAACTTACCACAATTAACTTCATCAGCACCGTTATCGCAGTCTGCGTCACGATCACACTGCCACGTTGCCGGAATGCAGATACTGCCCTCGCCACAGTTGAACTGGTCAGCTCGACAAGTTCTTGCCTCTGTAATAAACAAGGAAACAAACATTTAAATAGATGTAGTGTATTAACATTCTAATGGTTCAGACTGGATTGTTCTATAGAATTCAACGTAGAGAAGGTTCTACGTGACGAATCACAATATACTGTATTTGCAGTACATAAACATAGAATTCTGGTGCAGGACTTAATATTTTTAGGATACATGTTTAGTGAAACATATTTTTTCTGGAATCAGTTTACAGCGCCAAGGCATTAGCCATAAAATCTCCAAAGTTAGAAAGTGAATACCAAATTGATGTGATTATAAGAAACTTGACAAAAAGAGGTAAAATTTCAGAACTCAATTTCAGCGATTTAAATACAAAGAACACCCAAACGGCTGTTGCTATTATGAATCAGAAATTTAATTCTGTAATGTGATTGAAAAGACACAGAAACACCATTACAGGCATAAATGAACATTGGTTATATAGCACATTAGGGAGATTTCACAACCTTACGATAACGAATACGAATACGTCATTAGCAGCATTATCATTATTCGCTCTCAAATATTCTTAACTATATACTGTACTAGCTGAATATGATCCTTGATCCATGCAAAAGACATGAATCGCTTACGCCGTGACATTATGCTACTGTAGGGGAAAGATGGTCTAAAAATCTGATGACAACCGTATTTGTAAGCTTACGAAAACTCCCTAAGATGTAAAATAAAACAAAATGCCCATTGGCAAACACAGCCTTGGGACAGCCTATATGCACCTCAGCCCCACCGCAATTTGGGCACATTTCTCATTTCTGTCCATTGACAGACACAAAGTTATAGTTATAACTGGCGACTCAGCCCCAACCATGATGAGAACATTTTGAAAATATGGTCCGAAATTAGCATTGGGTAATTGTATAGCTCAAAGAATCAGACACAAATTTAAAGTTAGTAGGATACTGAATTCCTAACTACCTGGTGTGAACAAATTGTATAAATGTGGCATTTCTAGATGCCGGGAAATAGCAGCTGGCAAGCTGCAAAACAGCTACCACTATTCCAACGACTGGCAAGAGGATACATGATTTAAAGTTAGTGGAAATAAACTAGTTACCATACCCGCCTCATATCTACACCATAAATGAAAAAGGCGCCTTCTCTTTGAAAAAATATAGATAGTACATGCATACTTTAAAAAATGCATACCGGTATTCTTCACTTTAAGAGTTTACATTTTACTTGCAAGTAATCAGGACCGACTTGACCCCGTATACATGTGTGGTGTGGTGATGAGAATTTAACCGACTCCAACATATATATGCATATACATAT